CCATGCTGTGCAAATGGTAGGAGTTCCTTCCTTTTAGAGCTGCATAGTATTCCATTGTGTAGATGTGCCAAAGTTTTTTAATCCATTCATATGCTGATGGGCATTTAGGCTGATTCCAAATCTTAGCTATTGTAAATTGTGCTGTTATGAACATAGGGATGCATATATCCTTTCTGATTGGTGTTTCTGGTTTCTTGGGATATATTCCTAGAAGTGGGATCACTGGGTCAAATGGAAGTTCCATTTTTAGTTTTTTGAGGAAACTCCATACTGTTCTCCACAGTTGCTACACCAGTTTGCATTCCCATCAGCAGTGAACGAGGGTTCCTCTTTCTCCACATCCTCTCCAGCACTTGTCGTTTGTTGATTTGTTGATGACAGCCATTCTGACAGGTGTGAGATGGTACCTCATTGTCGTTTTGATTTGCATCTCTCGGATGATTAGTGACTTTGAGCATGTTCTCATATGTCTCTCAGCCTTATGTATGTCCTCTTTCAAAAAGTGTCTATTTAGGTCCATTGCCCATTCTTTGATTGGGTTGTTTATCTTCCTTTTGTTAAGTTGTATGAGTTCCCTATAAATGTTGGAGATTAAACCTTTATCGGAGATATCATTGGCAAATATGTTCTCCCATGCAGTGGGTTTTCTTGTTGTTTTGTTGATGGTTTCTTTTGCTGTGCAGAAGCTTTTTATTTTGATATAGTCCCATTTGTTTATTTTCCCTTTAGTTTCCATTGCCCTAGGAGCTGTGTCAGTGAAGAAATTCCTTCGGCATATATCTGAGATTTTGCTACCTGTGGATTCCTCTAATAACAGGGATCTTTTTTTTAATTTTTATTTTGAGAATACTTTTTTTAAAGCTGGCGACAGTGAAACAGGAAGAGCTTAGGATAAAAGAAGCAACAGAAGAAAGCTTAGGTGGGCTGCTTTGGCTCTCTAGAAATGTTATAGGAAAGAGATCAGCCAAGGTGGGGCTGCCATCAGCTCACTGGAAAGTCAGAGAAATGGGGGCCTTGGAGATAGGTTCAAGGGGTTAGCCTGGGATGAGCTGCCGCCGCTCATTGCTCCCTTGGTTCCAAGTCTCGTGGGGACCCTTAGGATTTAGGAGATGCACGCCTGAGAGAGAAGAAAGGCATGGGCATGCTCCCAGGAAGGATGGCACACCTGGCTGCTTTCTTTCCAAGAGCTTGGTCAGGTGACAAGGCTAACTAACCCTGCAGCACTACCCAGAAAGGGGGAGTTCATGCTGGGCCACCAGCTACTACCTGGCTTGCTGGAGCTTCCTCCCTGAGCTCTCTGCCTTGGTGGGAGAAGCACAGGTTTGACATGCAACCTGGAGTTCAGATTAAAGGCAGGGGAGAGTCTATCCTATTCTGGGCAAGAGTTTCCCCACTCAGGGCATCCTGGCCACCTTGGCACCAGGACATGCCTGAGCCCCCTTCTCAGAGGCCTCAGCTCTTGTGCAGCATCGTATGATCTGTGGGAGCCCCAGGTGGGGGAGCACCATGTAGGCTGCCTCAGATTAGGGGTGGGGGTGCTGACCTCAGGCCTCTGTGATCCAGCTTTCTACTTTGCCTGACTCTTCAATTCTGGCACACTTCCTCCTCCATCAGTCCCCTTCCTCCCCCTGGGCCCTTGGTGAGCCATATCTATTCATACTTATTGTTGATCCTAATTACACTAAAGTGAAGCAGAACTAGAGCATTAACTCCTAAAAGATTGACTGTCCGGGGTTTGAACACCCCAACAGCACCTTTGCCTTGTCCCAGGATGTGTGAGGTCACGCTTGCTGTCTTGAGGACTCTCCCGTTCATCCTCAGAAAACCTCATCTCCCCAGGGAGAGAGGGAGCCCTCTGGGTTCTTGGGGCACATTGTTTTCTTACAGAGATCTTTTCTGAGCACTTTCTGTGGGTCAGACGGGGTTCCAAGCCCCAGGGTGAAGCGGAGAATGGGACAGACCCCGTGCCTGCTCTCCAGGAGCCCCATCTAGTAGGGCAGACAGTGCCCAAGCTGACACTGCAAAGAGAAGAGTCTTGTGGATTGATTAGTGCAGTGAGGGGTGTGAGCAGGGTTGAGAGAGAAAGCAACTCGAGGAACAAGTAGATTGGATGGGGGAGGGCATCTCTAGGCTGAGACTGAGGGTGCAAGAGGACCAGCTAGCAGAGAGCCTGGGACAGAAAGAATGGGTATGGCCCCTGACCGTTTCCTCCCCCCCCAGGCTCGTGGAGGAGTTCATGCTCTTGGCCAACATGGCAGTGGCCACAAAATCTATCGCGCCTTCCCTGAGAGGGCGCTGCTGCGCCGGCACCCTCCACCCCAAACCAAGATGCTCAATGACCTGGTGGAATTCTGTGACCAGATGGGGCTGCCCATGGACTTCACCTCCTCTGGGGCCCTCAATGTGAGTGCTGGGGGCTGGGAAGTGGGGGGAGGCAGGTAGAGGCCCTGTTTGTGGGGAAGAGGGTGTTAGGGGTGCAGCAGCCTCTGCATCCCACCAGGGTCTGTTCCTCTTCAGCCAGGACTTCCCCTGCAAGGCCCTGGCCCTGGGCTGTGCTTCCCACCAGGACCGGGCAAGGGAAGTCACTTGAGGTTCAGCCATGGCAGGGGTCCTATAGCCAGGCATGGGCTTGGCTTGGCCCAGAGGCCTTCAGTGGGGGCTGGGTCATTGGAAGCCATAGCATGCCTTTTATGGTAAGTGGTGTCAGGTGTTCCCTGCCTCGAGCTAAGCCTCATGGAGCTCAGAACTCCAGTGCCCAGCTCTGATCCCACTGGAGGGAGACTATTTCCACCTGTGCCCAAGGCTAGGGTGGGTGCAGAGGTGCCTTTGGGTCAGACAGCTGGAAACAGTCTGTCCAGGCCAGCCAACTACCAGTGAAAGGACTGATCTCCGAGCTGTTGCCCGTGAGGCAGGCCCAGTGTGGGTCACAGGCTGGGGGCTGCTGGCACCTGTGCCCCACCATGGCCATCTGAGCAGGGTTGGGCCCCTCAGCTAACCCTCCCTCCCTGGAGCCGGCTCTCAGATGCTCTGCGGGTGACAGGGGTCCCAGACCCTCTCCCCAAGCCTGACTGCCTATCACATGGGTTTGCTTCTAGAAAAGTCTGACCGAAATATTTGGAGATGACAAGTACTCACTGGCTCGGAAGGAGGTGCTCACCAGCATGTGCTCCCGGCCCATGCAGGTAAGGAGCGGCCTGTCCCCCATCCTCCCCTTCTCCCAGGAGCATCCATGACTTCTGCACATGCAGGGGACTGGGTGGAAGGGTGGCGAAGATGTCCCTAGGCAACACCTGGGACAGGTGAGCCCAGAGCTGAGCCTGATCTGCTGCCTCCGGCTCGGTCTTATCTGCTTCACCTGCTCAAGGACAGGTTGACTGGACCTGCTCGAGGGCCCAGTTTGAGCCCTGCTGACCCTTTGTGTGGCCTCTGGGGCTCTGTTCCCTGGCACAGGACAGGGAGTCACCACAGGGGCTGCACCAAGCCTTCAGTGCCAATCCCCAGAGACCAGACCAGGTTGGGGAAGGGAATGGGGGTGGTCAGCCCTCATGGCCAGATGGGGACCCTGGAGGGGAGAAAGTGTTTCCCAAAGCAGCCTGTACAGGGGAGTGGTCAGCCCCCAGTGCAGCTTGTGGACTCCAGGGAGACAAGTCTCCTCTCACCAGCCCGGAGAAGAGGGGTCAGACCGGGGCCTGTGTCTGCAGGCAGGATGATGGGCTGGCAGCCTCTCAGTCCTCTGAGGCTGAGCTTCAAACCCTGGAAGCCCGAGCATCTTGGGAAGGAGCCAGCCCAGTGGACTGTCAGGTCATCAGGAGCTGTGGATGCTGATGGGGCTAGCTCTGGGCTGCAGCCCTTCTGGGGGGCAGTGACAAACCATTTTTCAGGGTCTCAGTTGCTCAGCACTATTCGTTCTTTTCACAAGAATCAGATTGCCCCATCTGGCCACAGGTGATTTACTTTCTGGCATCTTATAGGGCTGCCAGGGACGGAGCTGTCAGGGCCTGTTTAGATCTAGCTGCCCTTACCCTGCCCCACACCAAGCACCTTAAAGCCCACATGGGGCGGCGGGGGGGGGGGGGGGGGGGGGGGGAGAACATTTACCTATGTCCATTGGACTCAACATTACTCTGCCCTTCTCTGCCCTCTAATTGCCCATAGGTCACAAGAACTGCCCCCTGGCTGTATGCAGGGCCAGTGAGGCCCCCTTTCCCTGACCCTAGAAGGCATCCACATCCAAAGTCAAACCAGCCCTGGAGCTGCATGGAAAGGAGCTCTTTCCTGAGCCACCCAGAGTCTGAAAAAGACTGGACTTCCCCTGGCCTTTCCTCAGAGGCCTGCCTCTGCCTTGGGATCTGATGGCAGGGAGTGACCAGGCAGTCTAGAGTCCCTTTCTCCCAACCTAAAAACTGGCGGGACGGGGGACCGGGGAGGGGAGCAGCAGTGAGCATGAAAGTCCTGAGCGAACTGCTGAAACAGGACACGAGGGCTGTTCCAGGGAGGGCTGGTCACTGTGGGAAAGCTACGGTCCCCACCCATCCCACCCTGCCAAGAGACACCTTTGCCAGCCAGGAAGGGAGCCACGGCCTTCTGTCCTCTTCACCCCAGCTCATCTGGGGAACTGGGCCACCTCTGAGAACAAACTGGCTCAGAGTGGAGGCAGCTCCCACCTCCTCCTGTGACTTGCCCCAGACGTAACCCAGGACGCAGCAGGAGCTGGAAAAGAAGCCGAATTGGGGAGCTGAGCAGGTCACCACCAGCTGCGCCCTGGGTTCCAGGGCCTTGTACACAGGAACCGGGGCCGGCTGACCATTTGGCTAAGTAAGCGCACGGAAGGGTGTGCGGATGAGAGAGCGTGGCAAGCAGCCCGTGAGCGAGCAAGTGAACACACAGGGTGTGACTTTGGCTCCGATGAGGAACCCGCTCATTGGTTCCCAGGCAGCAACACGTCCTTGTTTCCCAGCCCTGAGAGCTCAGGGACGCGGGGCCAGCAGCTTCAGGCCTGTGGCCAGGGCTCCCAGGACCGCAGGACTGTTCCAGCCTGAGACTATTTGCAGGGCCCCAGAGCAATGCCTGTCCCTTCCTGTACCCCAGTCATAATCCCTGCCCTGCCCAAGGGCCTTTTGAACTCAGACCTGGGTCTTGGCCCCGGGCCAGATTATCAGGGACGAGAAGGGCTGAGGCTTTGCTCCCTTGGCTGGCACACGGTGGAGCGTTGGGGGCAAAGGGTATGGCGCCCCTGACCCAGCCCTGCCCAGCTTGGGCCAGGCTCTCAGACGGCCCCCTCCCACCTCCCCACCCCCCACCCCCCCACCCCACCCCCCACCCCCAGATGGCGCTGACTTTCTGCTCGGGGATGCTGCGGACCAGGAAAATATCGGGAGCTAAGCCCTCAACGGGGCCATTCTACTCACACTTTACCTCGGCCATCCGCCGCTTTGCAGATGTCATGGTGCACCGTCTCCTGGCCGCTACACTCGGTAAGAGGCGCAGTTCAGAATGCAGACTTGTGCCCAGCTAGCGGCTGCCCACCCCCTAAAGTGGGTGCCCAGAGGCCACACTGCTATGACTATGGAAGCTCCAACAGCAGGGACTCTGAACCTGAAACTCTCCCTCTGTGAGTCCCTATAGGGGAAGCCACATTAGGGCTCATTAGAAACCCAAACAAAGGCCGCCCATCATTCTCAGTCTCTGGAGCTGGGCAGCAGGAGGCCTTCACTCTGCATGGGCCTCCCAGGCCCCATCTTGCCTGGTCCCAGAGTACCACACTACCCATCACCCAGCCATGCCGTGCACACAGAGTACCGCACCCGCCTCCCCGATAGCAGGCCCCCAACCACCCTCTCTCCAGGCTACAGGGAGCTGCCAGATGTGGAGCCCAGTGTCCTGCAGAAGCAGGCCGACCACTGCAATGACCGCCGCATGGCATCGAAGCGCGTGCATGAGCTCAGCACCAGCCTCTTTTTTGCCATCCTGGTCAAGGTGAGGCCACCCTCCTGACACCCCCTCCCCTTCCGTCTGCCCCACCTCCCCTCCTGGCAGCTGCTCACAAGGGCCCTGGAGGAGCCCAGGGGCCTTCAGCAGCCAGGGTGGGCCCTGGGGGGATGCCACGTCCCATGGCCAAGCCTTGGCTGGAGCCCTGCCCTGCCCTGCAGGAGAGTGGCCCCTTAGAGTCGGAAGCCATGGTGCTGGGTGTCCTGAACCAAGCCTTCGACGTGCTGGTACTACGCTACGGGGTGCACAAGCGCATCTACTGCAATGTGAGTATATGGGGGCATCCAGGCCACAGTTAGGGACCTTCTGGGGAGGCAGAGGCCAACTACAGGGTGCAGACGCCCATCGACTGTGAATTGAGTGTGGGGGCTGTGCAGTTCCCCCCTCAGACACCGAGCCGCATCCACTAAGCACACTTTGTTTTCCCCTGCCTGTCCCATTCCCTTCGCTGGGGTCTCCTTCATATTTTCCTAGCATCTGGGGGGTCGTGGACCAGGGACAGCCCTTAGTGGACACATAAGCATGGAGGATGGGAGCACAGGCGAGGACCCTGCTGTCCCTGTCCTCACTGGGGATCCAAGCTGTGGTGGTGACTCTGCACCGCACCCTCGCTCAGATGTGGGCTATGCTGGCACACGGAGGTAGAGGGTATGGAGCCCCTGACCTTGGTCCCCCTCCAAGACCCAGCACCAAGCCCACTCATGGGCCTTGCCAAATACCCAACTGAGCCTGTCTGGGATGGGGATCCAGGCCAGGGGTCAGGCTTCTTCTTCAAGGTCCCAGAAAACAGGTCCCTCCATAACCAGTACAGGATGGCAGGGTATACAGCCTTTGCGAGATTTCTTATAGGAACATGGGAGAAGAAAAGACCAGAACGAATATCCATTGCCACTCTGAAAGTGACACCCTAAACAAAAGGAAGAGACCAGCCTTTGCTCCGGTGGCTATTTATTCCAGGCTTTTGGTGCCTGTCTAAGGCCACCTGACGGAGCTGTTTCAGCCTACCTTGTGGTTAACATCCAAAACACTTTGGGGTGTGCAGAGCCCAGCACATAGTGTAGAATAAACATGATATTAACATGGAGTAAAACAGAAGAGACAGAACAGAGGCCAGCTGGAACCAATCAGCGTTCTCGTCCTTAAGTCCTGACGTTGAGCAGGACAGAAGTTCAGATCTAGATCATCTCTGCAGACAACCCAGCCTTCAGTCTGTGCTAACACCCAGTGCCAGCAGGGGGCAGCAGCCCTCCAGCCTCCGGTGCTCGGTCCACCTCGGGCCCAGGTCCTGATGTGCCTGGACAAACCCACCACTTTCCCTGAATAACACACAGAGCCTAGGTACTGGCCTTGTCCTGCCCACCCTGAAGCTGGCCAGAGTGAGGATGAGGGTGGTACCCCCAGAAAGTCAAGCAGCCAGCTGCTGGGTGGGCGTCAGGGCAGGGAGCTCCCTTGAGGTCAGTCAGGGCTTTGCAGGGTCAATGGTTAGGAGGCTGCATCCAGGCCCAGGTCCTGAGACCCAGCTGTGTGCACCCCCAGGCCCTGCCCCTGCGGTCCCACCACTTCCGGAGGGTCGGCAAGAAGCCGGTGCTGACACTTGTCTGGGATCCTGAGGACACGGAGCCGGAGCCAGTGCAGCAGGTCAGAACCCCAGGCTGGCGCCAGCGCCGCTTTCCCAGAGCACCACTGTGGCCCCGGACCCCGCCCCCTCCCCCGCACCCAGGCTCCAGGTGGTGGGCACCAGTTCACCCACATCCCCTCCTAGCTTTCTGGTACCACCTTCCTCCCTTGGGGACACCCACTGTGAGGAGAGGCAGAGATAGGGGGAGGTTCCGCCTGTCTCTTTAGAACAGGGCCTTTAACTTTTGAGAATCTGATGAAAGCTATGGACCTCCTGCCCAAGAAATTCTGTATAACAAACAGTCTTTACCTAAACATGCTCCCGAGGCCAGCCCAGACCCCAGCGTTTCCCTACCCTAGTGCTCACTGTGTGCCAGGGCCCCAGGGCCTCAGTATTTGAGTGGGCTCGGCTCTCAGACTGGCAACAGAGGCCTAAAGAGGCAGAACAAGTGGTCCCAGGCACCCCGCTGACAGATGGTGGCAGAGCTAGACTTGGTCCATGGGTCCCTGACCCCCCTGTCCCGTGGGCAGCCCCTCGAGACCCACCTGAGTCACCGCCGGGCTCTGCTGTGCTGCAGGTCATCACCATCTTCAGCCTGGTGGAGGTGGTGCTGCGGGCAGAGGCTGCCGCCCTCAAGTACAGCGCCATCCTGAAGCGGCCGGGCACCGAGGACCTCTTGGGCCTGCAGGACAAGGAGGAGTGTGACAGTGACCATGACCATGAGCAGGAGGACTGAAGCCACACCCTGGCACCACCCCACCGGCCTACCCCACCCACTGGCTTTTAGGAATAGGACCTTTTGACACCAAAGGGGATTTTTAATTTGGTTTTTAACATCTCAGGGTTTTGTTTTTATTTTTTCATTCTATTTTACTTTTGCAGCTCAGTTTTTAAATGAACTGGAGGGGAGAGGGTGGGGCTGGATGGGCCAGTGCTTATCAGAGCCGAGTGGTACCGTCCTCCTGGGAGGCCATCCCCCCTTCTGCCAGGCCACCCACTGCCTTCCCCTGCCCAGGAAACGGGGTTTTCAGCAAATCAGTGTCATGGAATAAAATCAGGTGTGAAGTGCAGCCTGGTGTATGGGGCATGGCTGGGAGGCCGGGACGGCAGGGTGCCCCTTGGGCCCAGGACCAGGGATCTGGCTCAGGCTCCACCCGTCACAGCTAAGCTGGGTCACCACCCTCTGGAACCTTCCTGTCAGTTCCAGGATGATTCACAGAGCTGGCCACTTGGCAGATTGATGCCAGCGCCTCGTTCTGGCTGATTAGAAATGTCATTAGTATGCAAGGCGTAAGCTCACCCATCCCTGCTGCGGATGGCTGTGTCCATCCCTGCCCCCACCACTTCCTCTCTGCCTGCCAGACCCCAGATGGGGCATCGGTTCTGTAACACCCCCTCCCCCTCTTCCCAGGCTAGAGCTCTGGCCCTGTTTCTACCCCTTGGTTCAAGCCGGTACCTCAGCACCTTCAGTCCCGATCTTGCACCCTGGCAGCATTGAGGGAGCCTGGGAACAAAGTGAGGGCTGGGCCTGTGGGACATGAGAGGAGGGGCCCTCAAACTGGCCTTCCCAACCAGGGAGCGGAAATGGCTCCTGGTGGCCCAGCCTGGCCTAGTCACCTGGCATCCACAGATGCCACCACCGTCTTCAGGGACGCGGGGACAGAGATGGCAGGCCCCTGGGCAGCACTCTGTCCCCGGCAGCCTGGCCACAGCCCCTGCTCCTTCCCCACCAAACTGGGGAACCACAGGTTGGCTTCCCCAGGAGCTGCCAAAAACTAAAGTGAGGACCATGGTGACCAAGGGCCCGGCCTCACCGTGCCGTTTCCTTGGGGGTAGTATTAACAAGCTCGTTTGGTCTAGTTATAGTGAATTTTCTTCAAAGAAAACTCAATGCAGTACCTTTAGGAGGGCCTCGCAGGGACTGGGCATGGCTGCTTTAGTCTATCACCAGCGGGCTGTGGTGCATTGTCCACCCAGCACTGGGCTGGGTGCTAGAGGGGACAAAGGACACGTGTCTGTCCCTGCCCCCTGTTCCTTTCTCTCTTCTAACACCTCAGTCAGCCTTCAGTCTGTCCCTCCTGCCATTCAAAGCTGTCCCAAGGGCCACCATCCCCTTTCTGCTCCTGTCCCCAGAGGCTTCTAGGACCAAGTATGTGGAAGAGAAGAGGTGGGCGTCTGGTGGTTTGGTATTTGGATGAGGAGGTTTCTGGGTGCTTCCCTGGCCTGGGTGGCCTAACAGTGAGAGCCCAGGGTGAGGCCCTGTCCCCAGCCCCTCAACTGCCCCACCCTCTGAGGAGGAGCAGCCCTCCTTTCTGCTCTTGTCCCCCAGGGCCTCCCACCGAGGATAGTGCCTCTCCGGGAAACAGTGGGTCAGAGCTGGGGCTCCCTCGAGGGCAGCATGGGCCCAGGCCAGACATCCCTCCATACACCCCAGCCCTTCCAGGCCCATGAGGTTGGTCAGCAAGGAAGATCTTTGCTGCCTAGACTTGCTTGGGAGGCAGAGGCTGGCCTGGCCTTGATGTCCCTAGAGCCACAAGGGACATAGCAGCCCCATCCACCATCACCCCATTTGGTATGAGTGGAAACCGCCCCAGAAAGGATTCTGGTCTCTGGCCAACGTGACATAGCAAGACTGCCCAGCCAGGACCAAGGTTCAGGCACCTGCCCTCCACCACACCCACTGCCTGGGCCCACCGTCTGCACCCACACATGCAGGGCATGTGTGGGACCATGTCCATGGGTCCAAAAAGGAAGACATGCCCCATGCTCGAGGGACTGTTGACAAAGGGGGTGATGAGACACAAAACCTCATCAAAAAGGAAGACTCACAAAATAAAATACAAATAAAAAAAAAGATAACAAGGAAGACTCGTTTGCTTCTTAAGCTGTCCCAGAGCACCTGCGTGCCCATGCAGGCCGAAGCCCAGGGCACAGAGCAAGGCTCTTTTCCGAGTTGCCGTGGGCGAGGGAGGCAGATGCGAAAAATCACCACATAGTGAGGTTCTAGCAAGTTCCGAGTCTGGGTGGCGTATTCCCAACCATAATGGAATGGCACCCAGAAAAAGATGGTAAAGGAACTGAGGCTTGAAGGTACTTGATAGGAGCCGTGAAGGTCTGAGGTCACTAGGACCAGAGTGCCCAGGGGCGTGCAAGGCGATGCTGGGGAGGCAGGAGCAGGTGGGTCACCTCAACCTCTGCCACCAGCGTTTGCACTCTCCTCGGGGCAGTGCAGAGCCCTGGAAGGTTTCCATCAGGGTGTGACCTCTGTTCCTTCCCTCATTTATGCAACGACAGTGAGTGTCCACGAGGTGGCAGTGTTCTCAGAGCTGACGGTCAGGAGGGGGGTGTCCCGTTTCTAGAGTGGCAGGTGGCAGTGATGGCACGAGAGGTAAAGCAGGGAAGGGAGGCCCCGTGTGGACAGAGGCCTTGAATCAGCCTGGTGGCTATTTGCAGGCACAGACCCTGGGGCAGGAGCGTGGTGGTCAGTGGAGGGGCGCGAGGGCAGAGCACTGGGCTGGCATGAGCTGGAAGAGCCTGGGAGCTGAGGCAGACTCACCCAGCCTTTTCAGATGTCCGGAGGATTTTCCTAGGATTTGAGCAAAGGAGGGGCACAGCCAGCGCCTCCCCGCTCTCCAAGCTGCGCGCTGAGAATAGAACCTGGGGTTCTGTATGGAGGCTGCGGCCAAGATCCCTGCAGGGATGGAGGGGAGGAGGAGTTGGGTTGAGAAGCTGGGGGCAACAGTGACAGGATTTATGAAGGAATAGATGTGGAAATGACAGCAGAGGTCTAAAGTGCAGGGGGGCACCTGTGCTCTGGCCGGGGAGTGGGTGCAAAAAGGACGGGCAGAGAAGCGGTAGGATAGAGTGAAGGGCAGAGGCTGGACTCCTGGGGACAGGGAGCCTCATGTGCTGTTGCTGGGAGTTCACAGAGATGGCGGAGAGGGGTTAGGAGAGTGCTGACAGCCCAGCAAGTGAGCAAGCAGGTCCTCATGATCAAGCCGAGATAAGGACACACCTACGTGTCTATCTGCAGATAAATGGGTAAAAAAGATGTAGTACATACACTGAGTGGCCAGATTATTATGACCACCTGACGTTTGTAGGCAAATTAGCTATAATTTCCCGCTGAAGTTGCTAGAGGGCCAGATCATTATAAACGTCTGAATAGCACAACATACCTAAGTATCATTGCTGATCAAGTTCATCCTATCATATTGATGGCGTATCCCAATGGAGATGGCTTCTTCCAACAAGACAATGCGCCATGCCACGGTGCTTGTATTGTGCAGGAGTGGTTTCAAGAACATGAGGGAGACTTTGCCTTGCTTAGGTGGCCCCCACAATCACCAGATCTCAATCCAATTGAGCATTTGTGGGACGGAGTTAAAAGAGCCATCAGGAAGCTGGTTCCACAACCATCAAATCTCACAGAACTGGACAGTGCTATTCATCAGGCCTGGTATCAGATTCCTCGCATCACCTTTCAACATCTCGTGGAGTCAATGCCAAGAAGAATCGCCGCAGTATTGAAGGCAAAAGGTGGCCCAACGAAGTACTGATGGGGTGGTCATAATAATTTGGCTGGTCATAATAATCTGGCCACTCAGTGTATATAAAATGGAATATTATTCAGGCTTGCAAAAGGATATCTGCCCTGGCCAGTGTGGCTCAGTTGGTTGGGCATTGTGCCCAATTGGTCATCTGTTGGATTCCCAGTCAGGGCACGTGCCCAGGTTGCAGGCTCAATCCCCAGTAGGGGGCATGCAGGAGGCAGCCAATGGATGTTTCTCTCTCACTTCCATGTTTCCCTCTCCTTTCCTCATTCTTTGAAATAAAAACATACTTTAAAAATAAATAAATATAAAAGACATCCTGCCATTTATGACAGCATGGATGAACTGGAGGATATTATACTAAGTGATGTAAGCCAAGCACAGAAAGACAAATACTGTGTGTTCTCATATGTGGAGTCTAATCTAAAATATAAGCAGAGAATAGAATGGTGGTTCCCAGGGCAGGGAGGAAAAGAATTAGGAGATGCAGGTCAAAGGGTAGAAGGTTTCGGTTAGAAAATGAATGAATTCTGGAGACCTAATGTACAGCATGGGGTATAGGTAACAATGCTATGTTGTACACTTGAAATTTGCTAAGAGGGTAGATCTTTTTTTAAAATAATTTTTAAAAAATTTTTATAGATTGACTTTTAGAGAGCGGGAGAGAGAGAAATCGATTTGTTCCACTTACTGGTATTTATGCATTCATTGGTTGATTCTTTTTTAGTGTGCTTTTAGAGCGAGAGAGGAAGGGAGAGGGAGAAATAGAAACATCAATGAGAGATGTTTCTCCTGCCTCCTATACACCTCCTCCTGGGGATTGAGCCCACAACCCGGGTATGTGCCCTGACAGAAATCCACTTGGTGACCTCTTGGTAGATGGGGTGACACTCAATCCATTGAATGACACCGGCTGGGCCATTGGTTGATTCTCGTATGTGCCTTGACTAGGGATCAAACCTGCAACCTTGGCATATTAGGAAGATGCTTTAACCAACTGAGCTACCCAGCCATGGCAAAGAGAGTGGATCATCAATGTTCTTACCACAAAGAGAAAATGGTGACTATGAGGTAAGTGATGGAATGTTGATTAGCTTGATTATGGTGATCATTTCACAGTGTTTACATGTATCAAAACATCAAGTTGTACACCTTAAATATATATAATTCCTATTTGTCAATTATAACTCAGTGGAGCTGCTAAATTCATTAATTTAATTAGAAATGGAATCTATGCCCCCTCCCTTGAATCTGGACAGGCCCTGTAGCTGCTAACAGGCAGAAATGTGCAAAGTGACAATGGGCCAGTTTCTAAGCCATAAGAAACCGGCTGCCCTAGCTGGTTTGGCTCAGTGGATAGAGCGTTGGCCTGTGGACTGAAGGGTCCTAGGTTTGATTCCGGTCAAGGGCACATGCCTGGGTTGCGGGCTCGATCCCCAGTAGGGGTTGTGCAAGAGGCAGCTAATCAATGATTCTCATCATTGATGTTTCTATTTCTCCCTCTCCCTTTCTCTCTG